TTCCAAATACGATGGTGGTGATATTACTCTTACAGTAATGAAAGCACTTCAGCGATAACATTTCAGTAATCCTTCACCAAGGGTGCAAGTTAAGAGAGAATGTTGATCCACATACTATAGGGGATGATGGGGATAATCTTATTTGATTATGCTTACTGAATTAATTCATGAAAGATGCAAGTTCTGAACTTGGAATTTCTACATTTGTAACCTACTGGCTGGTTCTGTGCATTTTCCATTGAAGTCAATAAAATTTATCACTCAGGCTATTCTAACATTAACTCCCTTTTTGCATATATGGCTAGATAAATAGGTATCTATTTATTTAAATAGGTATCTATTTCACAGAACATGTGAAAGATTTTTCCAGTTCGCTAAAGGAAGTATATAAAGGAAGTATATAAATGCCAAACCATCACCACCATCATAAAGTTTGTCACACTGAGTATCATGATTCACTTCAATGCATTTGTTTTATTTTGAGAAGGGAATAGGGACATACAATCCCATTTAGCACATGTCATCTGGAAAAATGAACAAGAACATTACTGTTACTGTTTAAGCCTTACAACAGTAATGAAATGAGCTTTTCCCATTCAGGGGCTTTCCTTATGGCATAACTTATTAAAAATGCCACACTTGGGTCCTTTGCTAATTAACTTGTGGAAAAGGTGAGGAAGGGGGAGAGTTTTAGATGAATACTTATGAGGCAGAAATAGAAGTAATTTGTGGAAACGGTGAGGAAGGTGGAGAGTTTTAGATAAATACTTATGAGGCAGGAATAGAAATAAGAAGTAGTTACTAGTTAATATTGTTAGCCCACAAAACAAAACAGAAGCAAGGTGAGCAATCTATGACCTTCCTGAGATTTCTGAATTACAGTTGATTGTCCTTCAGGAAAAGAAAAGAAAAAATGCAAAGAGGCTCTTCATAAAGACTCAGATACAGGAAATTTGTGTATCAAAGTATGTTACCACTAAATCTCAATGCAGAGCAGGATTATGAGAATTTTAAGGCAACTCAATCATTGTTTCACATCTGCAACTTTGCCCTTCAACAAAGAGGATCTCTGCATTTTGGGACCAAAATTTATATTTTTATTGTCCGCAGTCTGAAGATTTTGTCTCAAGCTGTATCCATGATCAGAATCTAAAGTTGCCTCATATTGACTATAGTCCATGACCAGAATATCTCCTATCAGAAAAATGAGTTGAAGGACAGTTATAGAAACCCAAGCAGTGTAAAAAAAACAAACTGCCTATCATGGTGAACTGTAAGCTGTCACCATTGCTTTAGAGGGATTTGGCACACTCAAGATAGATTATATTGTTCTTGGTGTTTAGCTGCAGTCTAAATGAAAGATGGATCTGGGGAATTACAAAAAGGATGGAGAGGAGAGGAGGCGGGGTCTGTTTTGCTTTAGGTAGAGAGTTAGTTGAAATGTATGTATTTCTCCAACCTAGGCAATTACAATTTATTTTTCAAAGCCACTTCCCCATCAACTATCAAGGGGGAACCTTGTTTATCTGAGCTACTGGAGAGGATTATGCATCTGTTTCTATAAATAATGATAGACACAGCATTAAAGTTCCATTAAAGAAATAACTCTCAGCCCTTGCAGTTCCTATCCATAAAAACCATGGTGAAGCATTGCTTCTGTTCAGGATATAACAGAAAAATAACTTTTAGAGATCTTTACTGATGATGTTTGGATGTATAATTCAGACCATATATGCTGATTTTTCAGACAGCTTTGCTCCTTTTCTTCCTCTCCACTTCAGTAATAGATTAGATTCTCTGCATTGATGAAACTGCTATGTCTCAAGGACAGCACCTTAAAATAAAGATTAGGCAATGCAATTTGGCAATTGTGCTTCAACAGACATAGCTCCAAGGTTAGGGTGGGCTAGTGCAATATATGCAGACCTTCAAAAGGCAGCACTTCTCAGAATACATGAAATGTATTGTCACTATGAGATAGTCTTGACAGAAGAAAATCTGCCTGAAAAAAGGCATTTTCTGTTTCTTCATCAATGAAAAGAGACTGCAATTATTAGTGCATTGAAAAGACATTTAGGTAAGTCATTCAGTATCCTTGTTTGCTTCATCACAAAGTTCTTTTTGCATTTAGACAGGACCGTAATCTGAGTTTTCTTCCTTAATAAAATAAGCCCCAGACTTGCCCTCAATTGTCATAGGGATGCAAGGACACAGAAAACAACAGACTTCTGCCCAGTTTCCAAAAATGTTTGGTTATGGGGGGGGGGGGGGTTGAATGGTGGAGCTTTTAAAAATAACCACAAAAAAAGATGTTTCACTGTTGTGTCTTCATCTGTGAATGACTGCTCAAATTCTCTTGAGTCTCTTTGTGAGTCATAAGGGCCTTTGCCTTGCTCAGAATTAAAGTGCACGGCATTCTGCAAGCTCTTTTCAGCTGGGATCGCGTAAACTGCTTACGGCGTTTTCTGTAGGGAAAAAGAAAATAGACAAATGGAGGGATAAGTCATTTATTAAGAATAGCCACATAATGCTTATGTCTGTAAGAGGAATGTTAATAATCAATGGAGGGGTCAGAGGAAATATATTATAAAGGAAATTGACTGATAGTGAAATCCTGTATGTTTCTATGCAGCACTAAGCCCTATCAGAGGGTTTATTCCCAGAAAGATTTCTTCATTTACCAAAGTTTAGTTCAATTCACGATACCAGGATAACCACTTCCCCCATGCTACTATGGTTACTGGTTAGGATTAGTATGTGCTACTATCAGAATTGCAGGTGTTGTGCTGCTGAATTTATTGCTGAAGACCACAATCAGGAAGATGCTACTTTTATTCAAATAAACATCTATATCTAGTTGGCCCACAATGGAAACAAAATACTGAATTGGACAGGTATTTTGTTAGGTCCAGCAGGGCTTTTCTTAGATTTATAAGATTTATAAGAAAACTATCTGTAATAATTTGAGTTTGCAATACAGCATAATGCTTCCATACTATATAATAAGTAAAATACTTCCGATTGGCATGGAACTTTTCCAAATGATTGAAATTTCCCATGGATATATTTTTTTCATTGCCAGAATTAGCTGAATTAATTAAATTAATTAATTAAAACCAAAATCCCAAAGTAGGTAAAGAAATTAATTTTTTGAGGAATACTTTTGGAAGAAAAAAGTTGAAATCTTTGTATAAATAATGTGACATGTTTTAAATACCTCAATTTTTATAATTCAGTAAATATGATATTTGTCTGAAATCAATGCCTAACCCACACCTTGGGTATAAGAATACATAAAAACCCTAAAATTAGTGATTTAATTGTTAAATTGCATCATATTAATATCTCAAAATTTTAGAAAATATCCATTACTTATGCCCAAATTCAAATAGTCCACCACATAAAATTACAGTTGAACTCATTAGTTTAAAATTTGACATAAATTCCTTATGAATGGATTCATCATCAAACTATACCATGGATTGTTTTAGCCATAGTTTGTTAAACAAACACACTGGCTATCTTCACATTTCAGGCAAAACCAAAATGTATTTTTGTTCAAAAGAAGTACAAATTCTTGCCATTGTAAGTTTTGGAGCACTGCCATTATATGCATGTCTAGTTGGATTGGTATAATAAGTTATTGTGTCAAATTCTGGACTAGTATGTAAAATAAACCAAACCCAGACAGCCATGGAGAAGGTAAGTATTAACTTTAACTGGGACTGTCTTATTGTAAACTACTCTTTCCAGGTTACCATAACTATTATTTTATTTAATAAATTGATCTGACTGCCAATCTTATATATGTGACTGCGTGGTTAACAATTAAAAAAAAAAGACAGAGTAAAAATACAAACAATAATTAGAACCAAATAATTTAAAATAGCAAAAAGCAGCTTTGTCATATGAGGAATAAAATCCAGATAACTGTGAGGCAGTTTACAAATCTAGCTCAGACAGTCCTTCAAGAAAAAGATACAGAGATATATAGAAATACAGAGATGCTGAAAAAAGATATTACTTCACTACAGAATTCACTGGCAAGGGCTGGCAGCAGAGAACACACCTTTCAGTCACTGTAATGTCAGTCCACACGACTGCTTTTCATCTAGCCATCAAGGAAGAAGCTAAAGATACAACCGAGACTTGCTGGTATTGTCGTGCTGCCAAGACTTTTGAATACCATGAAAGGTCATGATAGGATATGAGCAGATATTCTGCATCTCCCACATGGCAGCTCATTATCCAATTAATGCAATTATGCTCCATCAGCCTCACCAGTAAGGAGATATGATTTGAGTTAAGTATGTTGCTCAAACAGTGCCATCATTGTAATGAGGAAATACCATGGGATTATTCCATATTTAGCCTGCATAAGATTGTGTATGCTATAGTCAGTCTTCCTATTTAAGCCACGAAAAATTATGAGGTGGGGCATTAATACTTTCTGTATATAATCTGATTTATGGTTTAATTGATTGAAGTTGCTAAATAAATCTTTGGTCAATAAAGCTTTCAGTGGGCCACTTACACCTCTACACTCCATATATCTTATTAACTACAACATGAAGATATCCACCTCATCATTTCTAAAGGTCAGGTCCACATGATGCAGCCTCCTTCCTTCTCAGCATTCACTAAATTTAACTTTGCCAACTTTCAGTGCTATCCTCATTTGATTCTAGATGTACAAACTGATGTTCATCCCTCATTCATTGTTAAAGTGATCAGGGGCTGATGTTTGCCAGGTTCTTATTCCCTGTCAGATGCTGCAGTGAGAGCACCCCTCATCCTGAGATCTGGCAATGATTTGGCTGCAGGAGGCACCAGACACTTCGTTTATATAGAAATATCTGCCTGCATAATGCCACACCTGCAATTCAGACATTACTCAGGCTCCTTACATATGCTGGAATATGGTCTTGTGGGAGACCAGTAGACCTTGCTATTTCTCCATAATATTATGTTCTATTATTTTCCTTTCATTTCTTTCTCAGGAACTGGCTGGGAAATTCTGGAAGTTGAAGTACACATATTTGAAAGATGCTAAGGTTGGCAACACTGGCCTAGAGTATTAGGTACCTCATCTAGTTTATATTATCTGTCTATCTAATCAACTTTGACTCTATCTGCTCATCTATATTAATAAAAAATGAAGAATATTAATCTGACATTCCAACCCTGCAGCATTTTTCTAGTAACCTTGCTAGTTTTTGAGGAAGAAACATTGATGAGCATTCTGTGTGACAGGGGTGTTTGCAGGATATGGTTAAAGAAGTCAAGATGGCACCTACAATGGTGTATAATCTAAGTTCCATACATTTTTATGCATCAATACAAAAAAACAGATTTTCATTACACTTCCATGACCTCCATCATGATCTTTTAATCATATCCTGCAGACACCCATGCTCTGAAGAGTTCTTAAATTGATCTTAAATTAATCAGATCCTGCAGTTCTTAAATTGTCTGTTGCTCCATCTAAACCACATGCTACTCTGCCTATACTTATAAGCTTGATAATGTCATAAGGAATTCTGTTATAAGCATGTACAAATTCACTAATATTTGAACATAAATGAGTCAGATAAAAATTGGATGCTAACATACATATGTGATTTTTTTTACAATGATAAAAATGTGCCAAGCTATGCCACCCACTTTTCTCCACTCTTTGCAATGTTCAGTCTTCTAGTATTTTTTTTTGTTGGGGGGGGGGGTTGGAAACCTGCACTTCTACTTTCCAGGTCAAAAATTAACATTTTGTGGTATGTACCATAATGGTACAATTACAATTTTGCCCTTTTTTTGTTCATGTCACACAGTTTAAATCACATTGTTGTGGTACTATTGTGACTTTTTTGACCAAATAGTGTACACATCTCTGCATATATATGTTTTTGAGCCCTTTAAATTAGATTTTCATTAACAGAGGATGATTATCTGTAGGATATTAGGATTCCCTACTTTGTGGTTAGACAGCTTGATGAAGTATTGTTATAGTTTTGAATGACAAGGAAGAAGAAAGATAAAGAGTCTAGCTCATTTTCTCTTTGAAATATATTTTTATCAAAAAGGCAGTAATTAGGGACAGCACTGGTAACTGTCTTGGAAGTTCAATTTCCCATTTCTTTATCCTATTTGAAATATGGATTTTATAGTGGCAATTAATTCAATAGGAGTAAAAGAATAAGAGTAAAACATATTATTTGGTGCTCGTACGAGAAGCCACTTTTGAAGAGAGGGCATTACATGTTGCCCCTTCTTGTTGCTTTGGGAATTCTTGAAGTGTCTAGAGCAGGGCTTTTCAACCAGTGATACGGGTACCACCTGTGGTACATTGGCACCTGGCAGGTGGTACGTGACCATCCCAAAAAAGTGGTAGTGGGGAAGGAGAATGAGCTGAACCGGTGGCAGCACCGCACAAGCCTGAGCCAGAGATGGCTGGAGCTGCAGGGCTGCCAGGGCTCACGGAAGCATCAGGATCAGCACCAGGATCAAGCTGGAGCCTGGCGCTGATCCTGGTGCTTCTGCTGAGCCCAGAAGAAGCGCCAATCAGCTGGAATGTTGCAGCATCTCCAGGGTCTTGTGATTTACATTCAGATGCTTGGCAACTGATTCATATTTATGATGGTCACAGTGTCCCAGGGTCATGTGAAGTGACAAAAACCTGCTGCAACCACCCAGCAGACGGGGGAAATAAAAACCAAATATCCACCACCACCACCACCACCACCCCGCTGCCAATCCTCAACAGAAATGCTCACAACAATGAAAACCTTGGACAGGAGGAAGAGCACCACCAGGTGGGCAGGCAGGTGTCTTGCTTGGCTGTGGCTTGGGGGGCACTTTTTTTCAGTGCCATTGGAACTTCGAACAGTCACTAAGTGAACTGTTATAATCAAGGACTACCTGTTCTTCATCACTTTTTTCCTTTTTTTTTTTTTTTGGTCATCAAGTTTTTGACACCTTGCTAGGCAACTGGTGGTACTTGGATATTGCCATATCCTAAAAGGGGTACAATGGGTGAAAAGGTTGAAAAGCCCTGCTCTAGAGGACAAGGAACTGCCAGATTCTCATGAATTTAATTAGATACTTTTCAGAGATCCGTGTATAAGGAGACCATGCAGCCTTGGATATAGAAAGACAAGTTCATGTGCTTGAACATGCAAAACACATGTGCTTTGGTATTAAAAGATACAAGACTGGTCTGGGGAAAGAGAGTGTCCTAAGAAAAAAGTTGCCTGAGCCGAGATAGGTGGCAAACAAACCTAACAAACAAATAGTATTCTTTTGAGCTACTCGGTATATGGAACCACTATCTATGCACATCACTACTGCCTTAGTTGTATTCCTTATAGCAATAGCACTTAAATTTATATACCACTTCACAGTGCTTTACAGCCCTTTCTAAGTGGTTTACAGAGTCAGCATATTGCCCTCAATTTGGGTCCTCATTATATACATGTGCCATGAAATTCTCAGTCTTCCATCCTTCTTAAGTCAGTAAAATGATGACCCAGATTGTTGGGGACAATAAACTGACTCTGTAAACCACTTAGAGAGGGATATAAAACTAATAATAGCTATAGCTATTTCTACATGCAGAAGCTAGAGCAATAGGCAATTTTTACAATAACATATATATTCATTTTGCAAGAGGAATATATAGAAAGTGTAAGCAATTTATATGATATATTGATATTGCTAATTATTAGAAATCAATAGTACAATCTTATGCTTGTTTACTAATCAGTATGATCCATTTTGGGTCTTAATGGGAATTATTCTTTAAGGATTATGATTAAAGCTCTCCCACTTTCGAAAAATGTACTTTCCGAGATCAGAGTAACTTCCCTGTTGCTAAATTTTAGAAAAGATGTTAAAACCTGGATTTTTAAGGGAACACTAGGAGTGATGCTGCTATGGATAATGTGCCCTGATCGTAGGTTTTTCCTTGGTGCTTGATTGTTCCTCAGATTGCAAAGGATTTGTAATTGCAATTGTAACTACATTGTTATGGTAGTTCATTTGTATTGTTACTGCAAAAGAGCCATGTAATCTCTCAGAATCTTTGCGGATTAGAACAACATATAAATCCTGTGAATAAATGAGCTAAAAATGAGGGAGAATAATTATCAACTTTGGTTTTCTCACATATTGTCATATTTAAAATCCCAAACACCTTGTACTAAAGAATGAATTAGGCTTTACAGTTTATCCCATTTACACGGACATTCATACATTTCAATACAAATTCTTAACAAAAAATAGCAAAACACATTATCAACTGCCATATTTTTCTTCCTTTTTGGCTTGAAATGCTAGAGAGTTAACCTAGTGTATATCACAATGTGGATTTTGGCTGTTTTTTTTCCTATCATGGTCACCATGCTTATGCTTTTTTTCCCCCAGATACTATTAACTAGAGATCCATGCATATAATCAGGCATCAAAATGGAAGAAGGGAGAAGTCAATAGTCAGGATAATAGTAATGATGAGACATTTCTCCAAATAATCATAATAAGTTGCAAATTGGACTACCTCCAGAGCAGGGGTTCTCAATCTTGGCAACTTTAAGACTTCAATTCCCAGAATTCCTCAGCCAGCAAAGTTGAAGTCCACAAACCTTAAAGTTGCCAAGGTTGAGAACCCCTGCTCCAGAGTGACTTGATTTGATCAAGCTGTTACTGCAACTCTGGACTGAGGCCTCAAAACAGAAACGATGCTCTTTATGTATCCTAGAAATGACTAGACAGCATGCTGTAGTAATCTGGACCACCTTCTGGTCCATTTAACTCAATATTATATATTTTGCTTGCCAGTGGCTCACCAGTGAATTTTTGTCAGACCTATTTGGAAATGGCAAGCCAAGGGTCCCAGACTTACTGATGGCCTTGCCCAACGTTAGATCCTGTGAAATTTTAAGAAGTAAAGAGTTCATTAGTTTTGCTGCTAGAATCTTCTGTTTAATGCTGAATGACATTCTGAACTCCAGGGACCATTATTCTACCTGTAAATCTGGAAAGCAGTTTGAAATCTGGAACAGTCTAAGAGATGTCACTAGGCACACATTTCATGCTGTCCCATAAATTTTTGATACTGTTTCATTTTTGCAGAGTGGTGCAAACATGATTTTGCATGGAAGGAATAGGAATACAAAAGCAAATTCCTTGGGGGTATTATTTGTTCCATTGTGATTATTATTATGGTTGACAACTGCAATTTATGATATTCAAGAGCAAGCAAACAGACAGGGGACTAGTTCCATGGCCAGAGCATCATCCTAAGTATCACAACCGCTGATATAAATAGATAAGAAGCCACTTCATTATTATCAGGGGATGTTTTTCCCCCTTTGATGATCTTCAGCAGATCTAGGAGAATATTTATGCAGGGAAATTGCTGTCTGTCTTAAAAATAACATCTGTGGTATATTAAATAAACAAACAAACAAGGCATTTTTTAAAGCAGAGGAGACAGAGTCAAAGAAAGGAATGGGTGCATTTTTTAGCATAAATGTGTTTGTATTGTATTTTAATCTCATCTAAATTCTGAAGGAAAAATCTATGTCAAAAGTTTGATCAAGCTTTGGGTCAGTTCTGTTCCTTATTTCTTTATCTTATCCTTCATTTTTGATCATGTATCATTTGAACCTCTGAACTTCTTATAGTTTCTGCAACTTTTGAAGTTTAAAAATGTCCTGCTCATCTATAGGACTCTATCCTTTCTCACTTGGTTCTCTGGTTGCTAGACTATTGTAATGAAAATAAACCCCTTAGTTCCTTTGGCCCACTCTAGCTGAGGATGCTGCTAAACAGAGATCTCTACTGTGAATGAATGGACACCATATAAAGCTTTAAAATAAAAACTATTTATTTTCTATATGTAACTGCTTCCTTCATAGGCTCCCTAACACATAAACCTGTGTTGTTGTCCCCATAACCACCATGCCCATTAGTTGTGCTGTGATAATGCATGAGGAAGAATGAAGGGTATTATTCACAAATCTTCACAACAAGGAACAATGGACACATTTTATATTCTGGAATGATGAAATGTGACTCTTCAAATTCTTATAAAACCAGAAGCTGCAGAAAGGAGGTTATAAACAAATCAAGATGGTGACCACGATTGTGTGATCAAAACCATGCCTATTTTATATGATACTTGTAACAAAAACATGGACTTTGATCACATGATGTTAGCCCTAAGATGCAGACTACACCAAGAAATAGGCTCCAGGGATGACTAAAATAATTTTTATTTGCATTGGTTATAGTAACTTAATCTTGCAAGCCTGAGGGTGCTTCCTCTCCTCTCTTCTTTTATATTGATGTGAATTAGGCGGGCAAGGATGTCTATTTGAGCTGTTTTTGTAATCACCTCCCATCCTTGAGATTCAAGTAATGTTTCCCATACTTTCTATATGTGACCATGATTACCATCATGACTATTTGATACACAAACCCACATATACAAGCTGTGGATACCCCGTACACAATTAATTTTTAGACTAGTTGGCTCTGCAGGACAATCTGTATTATGCTAAATTCAAATCTGAAATCTAGAAAGCTGTAAAAGAGATATAGCCAGTTTGGTCTGGTAGTCAATGCACTAAGTTAGAACCTAGGAGACAGTGAGTTGCGGTCCCAAATTAGGCACAAAACCAGCAGGGTTAACTTACGTCGGTCACACTCTCTCAGCCCTGGGAAGCGGGCAATGGCAAACAACTTCTGAAAAATCTTGCCAAGAAAACTGCAGAGAGACTAATCCAGACAGTTGCCAGTAGTCAACAATGAGCTGATAGCACCAAAAATAAATAAACAAAAGTAGAAGAGATACTGCAGACTATTTAGAATCAGTAATCAAATTTAAAGCATTTACCTGACTTATTATTCATAAAATACTAGTTCATTATATTGGTCAATTTATTCCAGTGTGACACTGAATCAAAGGCCAAAGTACATAAACCAGTGAAGTGCTGAGCTTATTTCTTGTTTTTGCTGGTCTCAATGGATCTGTGGGTATTGTAGGACAAAGGTGAATAACAAGGAAGAGGATGAGGGTTTCGATGAATGATGAAGCTAATAAGCTTGTCAATCCTTTTAAATACCCAGTTTTTTCTACCCCCACAAAGCTTTATTTTGTAAACTTTTGTGACATGCAAGAACACTATGTTTTCTAGATAATGATCCAAGAACTCTGAAATATTTAGAGATTATTTATTATACAAAAATATATCATGAATAAAGTAGCTTTCCTAGAAATCTTAGGGCAAGCACTGCATAGAAAATCCAGAAATACAATAGCTATAGAAGTAGTCCACTGTTCCTTCCACCCCTTTCTTTTTACTTTCATGGATAGTGAAATAGTAGATATCTCCCTTGATTAATAGCATAGAATGATTAAGGAAAAAAGCTTGAAGAATCAATCCAATTTAGGGATAGCAGTATGTAAGGCATTGAGAAAAGTATACTTCCCTCTTTGCTTTATTATTTCAGATTTATTTTTAACAATCAGAGCCATCTTCTGCATAGAGAAAAGATACATTCTAAAAATATTTTGTGGAATAAATTATAATGGAGGAAGTCCTTGTTTGGATTCAGAACTAGGCAGACTTGGAACTGTTTAAAATTTGGACTGGAAAATATAAGGAAATCTTAGGATTTCAGGCTAAACTAGGAAGTCAGAAAATACCTAGGAAGATAACAGTGGCAAATCCCTTCTGAATTGTTGCCAAGAAAACTGCATGAACACTTCCATGAAATCTTCTAGAATTGAACACGACTCAAAGGAGGCATTCTTTATTACTCTTATTAATTCCCTTTTTCAGAAATTGCAACTGCAAACATTAATATGAGACATCTTGGAGGATCTCAGTTACTATATAAATTTTCCCGTCCTCCATTTTTTTTATGTGCCAAATTTCACTAGAGATTTAATGCCTAATTTTTTTTAGGTTCACTCTGACACAGCTGATCATTTAGTTTCTTGGTACTTTATTACAGCTTGGTGTACATGTGTGTTTTGCCTTTGTTTTTGGCACTGCAAATATTTCCTGACTGCAAAACAACTGTAACCCAATGTTTAATTCTTCCACAAAATTACTGGCATGGTTTTAAAACCTTAAAAAGAATGGATTTCCCCCTCCCTCCCAAATATTCCTTTTAAAAGACTGATTTTTGGAAGCAGTACAAGCACTGAAGATATAAATAAATGAAATTATCTGATTGTTTTCTTACCAGACTAAATATTTGAATCTTTCAGACTAAAGACACAGTCCACTATCAGGATAATACAGATTCCTCCAGTATCCTTCATGGTGAAATAACCAGATGAATCAGCCCATATATAGAAGATTGTTAAGCATTTTAAGGAAGGAAGTACTACAATTTTTAATCAATGTCACTAGAAGTACTGCATGTTCACTTAATCAGGGGAAATATTTATGACAGATAGATTTGAAAGAGCAGTAAAAGTAATTTGCACACTTATACACTCTAAAGCTTCTCAGTGGAGCAGGGCTGTGCAGATTGTACACATGGAAAAGGAAAGAAAAGGATATCTTTTCACCTTAATTCTGATTTTTTCTCTCCAAGATCTGAATGACATTTCCAACTTGAATGCTCCTTTTGGAGGAGGAAAAATATTGGAACTTTTTGTGTGCACAAGTGGGTATAATCTTTACAGCTCTGGTTGCTTTACTGAATAATTCTGGGTATTTCTGATTCTTGAGAGACATTCACACAAATATATGCATCTGGATGTGCACTCACAGAACAATACACAATGTGTTTTCAAAGGCATTATTTATCAAATACCAATGAATTTAAAATAATGTTAATGCAATACAATATTTTCTTTCACTGTTTATACTGCTGAAGACTAATGAAACTGAGAGTTGGGATCCTGATATGCAATTCTATATAGGTTTCTTTTCAGAAACACAAGCTTCACTGAATTGAATAGGATTTATTTCCAGAATAGTTAGTTTAGGGCTGTAGATTATAAAATTCTGATCTAGACCATAGATGAGGAAACCACGGCAAACTTCCTAATATCAAATGCAGATAAATCTCATTTCCTACTGAAATGATAGCAATATATCTCCCCCCCCCCAGTGAGTAGTTCAAGAATAACTACAGCAAGATTAAGTAATGTTTCAAATAATTCCTTAAAAGAACCCTTTGGAAAGGGTGGGGATCAAATATTGTAGATAAAAGTAGAACAGTAAAGAGTATAAAGTAGAATTATATACTGAGAAGGCAATAATTTGGAGACAAAAGCTGTTTTATATATTAAGTGTTTCTCTAATGCGATAGCATTGTTGCCACTCTTACTAACATCAAAAGGTATGATCAGCAGACTTATATGAAACGGAAGATCATGCTGGCACTGTAGTGAATATGTTCACAATAGAGTTGACACTTACCATGAGAAGATTTCTAACTGCTTCCGCACTGAAATGAAACAAGCATTGAGTCATTCAAAAGTTGTTCTAGGCATATTTTTATTGGGCCATTGAAGGAAAGTCTACTGAAATAACCCTTGGGTTTATATAGTACTGTGCTAATTGTGTGCATAAGGGTGATTAAAACTATAAAATATTAAGAATGATGCCTCTAATAGAACATGTGACTGTAGCCGCCTTCAAGCATTTTCTTATGAACACATGAAAATTCTAGAAGAATTCATGAATTGAATTCTGTCCCCTTGATAAAGTTCAGAATCTCAGTAGTACTTCTGATGTGATATATGATGGGCTCAGATCTGAAGAAACTTGCTGAACACAGCAGCTTAAAAGATCTACCAAATCAGAAAGAGTGCATTCAAGTGATGTTAAAAAAAACTTCTTGCAAGAGATACATACATGTCTCCAAACATGGAAAATATTTTATTTCACATATTTGTATCCCATTTTTTAATTTCATGATTTTACATCATTAAAAACAACAGTCAATAAAATGTTCAGCTTGTTCTCAACAATGTTCACTAGTGCCTTATTTCTGCATTTGCTCAGCTTTCATACATTATTAATCCAAACTTCTGCTCCTCAAAAAGAATACACATAAATTTTGCATGGTCTTAAACATTCATCAGAATTAATGGTGGGATGATGGACAACTTTCCACTAAAGTCCTGGAAAGTGATGAATGCAAGGAGCAACTAATTTTTCAGGACTTGGAAACCCCTGTGAAGAGATACAAGCAAATCCTAGTTTGAATGTAATGAAGCGAGGAGAAAAAAGTTTCTTTAGGCATACATGGATATAAGTTTAAGATGCTTCTCATAAATAAATGTATAAAACTATAAGTAGTCTAATATGATTGAAACTGCTGCGATACCTTACAGGAGTAGCAATTTGGCATTCTTTAGGGGGTTTTCAGAATGTGTGAGGAGTAGACATGATTACTGAACTTGAAATCCAATCAGATGGAGATCAACAGGTTGCTTATTCTGATGTGTGGGCATACAAAGTAAGTTCAATATCTCCTAATCTCTATGAGATCAGACCCCTTCTTAGGCCTGTAACTGGATTCATAATTTTAGTATGAATTATCATTACTTACACAGTTACACATTTTTTTCCAAAATAATATAATATAAATTCTTCAACATAAAAATCTTTCTGTCCCTAAATATATTGCAAGAAATATTATTACTTTTCTTTCAGTGCTTTTTATGGTCAAAAGATAACTGTTTGAATGCTGCTGTTGTAATAAACCTACTGTGACTTTTTGAATGTTTAACAAAATGAGATGGAAAAAAACTGCAGTCCTTTATAAAATAAATATTGTATATAATCTCCAATACATTTCAGTCAAAATCTTCCTTAGGAACGCTAAATATGACTCCATAAATACATTTATTGTATAATTCCCCAAAAGTAGTATCATAAAATAAAGACATTTTTTAAAATGTACCTATTACTTCCAGCCAAGCTCTTGTGTGAATTTCTTTATAATCTATTTTAATAATAATTTAATAATTATAATTATTTTAATTATAATTTCTTTATAATCTATTTTTGAATTAATATCGCAATTTTTATCCTATCTCTCTGCATGTTTGTTCTGAGAACTTAATACTTGAAGGAAACTGGATTTCCACCAAATGTACTTTCATATCACACCTGCAATTTTGTCCTCTTTTTGTATAGAATTTGGGGGAGGCATTATTTTTGCTTTTAATCATGTTTGTGAGCTAAAGATTGATTTTGCACTTGTGCTTCCTGAAGTAAATACATAATGTGTGGCTTATGCATGGCTTTTGGTATGTATATCAAAAGTCAATGGACCAAAGGCAATGAGGCAGATGTACATGAATAAATATTACAGTAGAAAATCTGTCTTTTATATGCTGTTATGTTTGCTAGTGATATAACCCCGATATAACACAAAAGTACCCACAGCAAATACGATTGTTATTTAGCACACAAAGCCACTCTTAATTTTTTTAATTCTTAAAAATATTGTATCATTCTCTTATTTCAACTCTCATTTGAATTAGTTTTTAGTTTCCCGCTAATGCCATATCTTGTTTTTCTTTCTTTTAATTTCCACACTCTTAAAAAAATTCTTAGAGAGGCAGGGAAATTGGGAGGATTTCCCTTTATTTTTCAATTCATTGCTCAACTCATTTAATTGAATCAGATTTGGTTAAAATTAATATGTATAGTCCAGTCTTTATCAATCACTTTCTGCCTACTATGGTAAGGTGACCAATTGTCCTCCTTTAGGGAGGACAGTCCTTCTTTTTTAAGTTCTGTCCTCTCTCAAAAAGTGTCCTCCTACATATCCTCCTTTTTGATATTTGAAGACTAATCTGTAAATTTCCGTATTCGATCGATGCCGATCTGATTCGTTGCGTGTGTTGTGATGTATTTGTATTTGACATAATGATTCATCAAGGCGCAGTACAGTGTGGCGAGATGTGATTATGAGATGCATGCACTCCGCACAGGGGAATTGTTTTGAGAGAGTGTGCCGCGCACAAGAGTGCACTGCACGCAAGTGGCTTTGTTTACTTCTTACCGAAACACGACACAGCACACACGCATGCATTAGACTCACTTTTTTTCTTCAATTTATTTGTGTCCTCCTTCTCATTGTAAAAAAGTTGGTCACCTTAACTATGGATTTTATGAGCTCAGGCCCAGTGAGTCAAAGATGAAAAATGGGGGTCTTTGTTTTCCACAATAATGCAAACAATGGAAATGGTATATTTTTTCTTCCATTCTCATAAGTGAGGGATCATCATCACCATTTCATTATCAATGTCATTTTGACAGTGGGCATTAATGGGCAACCTATGAGACCTTTATTAGTGAATCTTTCTCTCCACAAGGAAAGTCTGGTTCATTCTGCTTCTAAGGCCATGCTAGAAAATGAGTCTATATTACAATTCTTTCATATGAGGACAGAAAGACTAAATCAAAGCTTTTTGTTGCAATCCCCACCAAACTAAGACATATTAAATAAATAAATAAATGTGTTCATGTTATCTTGAAGTCCTTACAAATATATAGAAATTAATACATGGCTGTAAACCAATACACTACAGACTGAGAACTTAATTCTTAAAAACCATTTCTTCCGTGACTGTGCAGTTTCTAGCCATATCTCAACTGCCAGCCACCATATTCTAACATATGTTTATTATAATTAATTCATGAATGCACCTATGTCAGGGGTCCCCAACCCCCGGTCCGTAGACCAATACCCGGCCACAGCATACCAGCAACTGGGTTGCACAAACAAGCAAAGCCTCATCCACGAGATGCAGGCAGCACACAAAACCGTGTACCCTTCGGTCCACAGAAAAACCTCTCTCCATGGAACTGATCCCTGGTGCCCAAAAGGTTGGGGGTCCCTGATTTATGTGACAATTTATTTATTATATTGTTATATGGTACTGAATGTCTGACAGCCAACATATGAAACAATCACACTGCAAAGTACTATTTAATGTTCAAACACCCCATGTCCAATTTTCAAGTACAGATTGCTTTCCCTACACTATAGCTGCAAATAAATGTCAATAGATTACTTATTGCTTAATATCAAGAAGTAGCTTAATATATTATTGATATAATACAAATTTCTAAATACATAAAGAAGTCCATAGTCATAGATTTGCATGAGAAAATTATCTGTCAAGACTTTGGCCATAAAATGCAAATTCTTCTTAATCTCTCTCTCTCTGCATGCGTTATATAAGAATAGGTTGTGGTATTAAAAACATGACAATAATTAAAGAGATAAGTACACACAAAAATGCCAATAAACTTCTGTACCAGACTGGATATAAAGATTGAATTGTCTGAACAAACAATCTGTATATCTAGAGGAATGGAGGAAGTTATTAGTGAGCTTTTTCTTCTTCATTCAATAGCTCCCCGCCTTGCATAATCCTAGCCTGCTCTTTTATTTTT